TTTTTTTTTTTAATAGGTCAGTGGTAACAATGTTTAGCATTAGTTTTTTTTGCAAATTTTTCAGTTGAAATGATTGTATATTACTTTTTTATGATAAAGTAAGTAATGCTGGTTTCAAATCAGATTAATTTAATTTTAAATTTGTTAATTTTACTCAAATAACATATATATATATATATATATTATTTTTTATTTTGTAAGATTTTTAAAACTGATAAATGTCCAATGTTTATGAAAGAAGGTACATTTTAACTATGGGGCAGTGAAAAAGAGCTCTTTTTTTTTAATGGAGCCACACATAACTGCCCCTTTTTACAAGTGAGGAAGGGTAACACTATTAAGTGTACTTTTGTCTGAATTTTTTACATTTTAGTTTACACACATATGCAAAAGCATGTGTGACAACCCAACACAACCAATCTACACAAAGCCAATGTATGTGTGTCTGTGAGAGATGATGCTAATATTCAAAATGGAAAAAAAAAAAAAATACACTTAAGTTAAACACATTCTTGACTTACAGATTTTACTAGTAGTTGCAGTCATTTTTCTTAAAACCAAACTATACATTAAACTTTATTTTTATTCAGTTTTCACAAAGACTACAAAGTCTATTATACAGGTGAATTGACATTAACATATTGTATTGAAATTGACTGAAGACAAGACCACTTCAGTTTGTAATTGGAAAATATATGGTATTCAAGTGACATAAGTACAGACACATTTTTCTCGTTCTGTTGCTCACTGCAAAGCCAATAAACAAACGAATTATGCTCTCTTTATCACATATATGATTTATCTATATTTGTTTAATTTCTTCTTGATTGTCTCTGAATGACAATTGAGAATGGTAGTGTAAGAAACAGGAAGAAACTGAACTAAACTTATACAAAAAATGTCTCTGTTGTAGAAGCACAATTTGTTCTTTCTTTTATTTATACTCAATGAGGAGGAAAAGTCAAGCTATCAAATAATATTAGAATCTTTCACATATATAAAAAAAAAACTCCTGACAATATGGTAGAGGAATTCAACCATAACAAAGTAAATCATTTTAATGAATAGTCTCCATTCAATGCAAAAGTTTACATGCTAAAAGATAAACTTGTTGCGTCATCTAAACCTGACTGAACGAGTAAAAATATAGAACTGATAACTAGAAAGGAAGCTAATCTTGATATTAGAGTGATTTTTTTTACTGTCATTATTAATAATGGACTGTCTTTAGTTCTGGAAATAACTGTCAATTGTAATGATGGTATAAAAAAGTAACTTTTAGATATATAGGGTTGTTTCCTATGAGCAGACAATCAATACTGAATGGTCTGCATTAATAATAAGTGCTTGCTACTTGTGGTTTATATTCACTTTTAAATTAGGAATGGCCTTGTGTCTAGGCTAAGTACATACATACAGGGCTTTACATGCAAAGGTAAAGGAATAGTGTAGCTTTGGGAGCCATGAGAGAAATGATTTAACACCATTTGACCACAAAATGACTTTGTATCAGAAAGATAGGGCACCTGTCCTATTTTTGTTTTTAGGCAACAGTAATAAAGATATATTAAGAATATGTAAAATTCTAGACAAACATTAGCAGTACATGAAAACTGGGCATCAACAAGTGATACAAGAATGGAACTCAGTTTATGCGCTGTACAATGTACATAGCATTCTATGAGGTATTGTAGCTATTGAATAACAATGGTGACATTTTTGACACTAGTATTGGTTGTCACCATTGGCCTATGGGAAACTGGCACCTTATCATCTCATCAAATAAGTCATGGTTCTAGTTATTTCCAGCAGATGGTTGAGTTTATGGATGGAAAATATTGCATGAGTGTATGAATTTAACCTGTCAACAGGTAAGCATTGGCTGCATTGTGGGATATGTTCACAAAGACCACTGAAAGATGCTTTCTGTTTTCCAGCAGCAAGATAAAACAAGATAACATCCCCACTCCATTGTTGCACACTATTGCTTGCAGGGACATTCAGCTCATATCTATTTACTTGATTTGTCAAAGCCCATGTTGAAGTCTTCACTAAATTCACTAACTTTTCAGATTTATGAATTGCCCATTTCAGTAAAAACTTCTAGCAATTTAGATCATTTTATACAGGTGATACATTACTGCAAAAACTATTTAGGAAGATTTGTTCTCTCTAAGCTAAATGTGCTTAAAAAATATAAATTAATTTGTATAAGTTATGTATTGTGTTTGTGCTCTCAAATTTATTTCTTAGCCAAGATTTGTACATGAAAAATATTTTAAATTCCATTTACAGATTTTACAGTTACATAATGTACTGACTAAACGGTGAGGTATTTATGCAAATCAATATATCTAAGCAAAAACCCAATACCTTTATATCATAGAACTGAATGTATATCACTCTACTATATATATATATATATATATATTAGTACACAGTGCTAGCAGTAATAATACAGTACTTGATATAAAATAAAAACTAAAATTTATACTAATAATAAATGTTTTGTTTTTCATCATTTTCTACAACTTTTGATTTTTCAATCTGTGCTTAACAAATGACACCTGCATGAAACTCAAAGTTGTAACAAATGCAACGGAAAAATGTATATTTATTATTAGTATATAATGTTATTTTTAATGAGTAAACATATTTGAGTTGCTATCCATTTTTTTATTTTCTTAAATAGGGAAATTAATGACAACAGTTTATAGTAATAATAATAAAAAAAATCTCTCTCTCTCTCTCTATATATATATATATATATATATATATATATATATATATATATATATAGAGAGAGAGAGAGAGAGAGTGAAAGATAGAGGCCATTTACTATGTAGTCATGTTAACATCTGTTCAAAAATATTAAAGAAGCAAATAAAATAATATGGAAGTGGGTTCAAGTGTAATCAGAGGCAATCATTTCGTGTATGTTATCCAGTTGATCAATAGGGACAAAAAACAATAACATTGCTAAAAATAAACAGCTTTTTATGTTTAGCTCATAGAAGGATGCAAGAAGACTGCATCCTTCTATCTGAAGATGCAAGACGAAAAGACAGTCTTGTTTGATGCATATTGCCAAAAAAAAAAAAAAAAAAAAAAAAAAAATTAAATATTTCATTACCAGAAAATGATATTTTTGTTCTTTTGTCAACTTCAATCTCACTCCTTCACTGTTACACAAAAGTAGTAAGAAAGGCCAAAAATATTTTTAATAATATCAAAAAAAGAAAAAGGAAAACACTGCCTTCAGAAGGACAGGTGGAAGAGCATCTTGCTTGCAAGGAAACTGGAAAGGCAATTGTGGTGGATGCTCACTAGAATAATGGAAATAAAGGTAAATAATTTTAGAAAGTCCGTTTATTCAGAATTAAACACTCATCTTCTGTAAGATTAAGAAGATTGTAACATTTTCTGTTAGTAAAATTTTTTTACAATGAAAAAGATTAGAAAAAGAAACTCTTGATTAATGGCTACAATTGTCAAGAATAATATAAACAAAAACATGAGAAAGGAATCCATCACAGAACAAGGGAAAATTTTGCTGTTAAAAAATAAAAAATAACAAGCAGGCATGAAATATTAAAATAAAATGGTTATTCTACTTTTATTTGTGAAGTAGAAATATATTTGTTGGTTTTAGAGAGTGGTAAAACACTCTCTAAAACCAACAAACATATTGCCAAAGTGATTGCCAAAGAAAAAGTTTCAATTTCTACTGCAGGTGCAAAATTAACCAAAGATAAAAGAAACTCTAGAATTAATGTAAAATAGATATAAGTGACAGTCTCCTCATACTGATCAATCTAGTGCAGGTAAAATGTTTGCCTAAATGTCTACTACCTTTGGGCTAACATTATTTTTCATTTTAGCTGATTATCTGATGTTTATCAATTTTATTTGTGTATAAAATTGCTTCTGCTCTTTTATCCAACTAATCTTTGAACATAACTGTTTTCATTTTTATGTTAATTTAAATACAATCACTCTTGTCTGACAAATAGTTTTAATGCAAGAAATAACAGTAATAAGGATAATAAGAAACGGATATGACAACAGATCAATATGCCAGAATAGTTTTCAGATATATTATCTTGATGCTAACCATAATAGATAAGTGTTAAAGAAATGTTTAATATCTAAATTCTTTCTTGGGGTCTAAATTAACCAGTTAAAAAAAAATCAGTGGGCTAAAAAAATGAGAGAATGGAAATAAATAAACTTCTATAATGAAAATGTAAGTGCAGACAGAAACACTTGGCGTTGTGATGTGGCATCATTTTAAAATAGTGGTAGAATGATTACAACCATGGTTATTCCAAAAGAAATCAGACTGATATTATTACAGGTACTTTCCTTTTGCTTTGCTAATGTAAGTGTATAACATTTCCTCTCAATTACTCACACTTGTAAATTCTTGAATTATGTTTGACTTTAGTATGACAAATTTTATGGTTGTTCAAGCAATCAATGCCCAAACTCTTTTCAGCTCCTACTTGAAAATCTAACCCATATTAAGAAGCAACAACTGTTATATATTATCTTGCTGTGCAACAACCAAAAATATAACTTGTTTTTTGTTTTTTTTTTTGTCTCTCATTACTCCATATTTTATCATCAACAAATGATTTCCAAGAACATATATTGATACTTGTTTCTTTGGATGGATCAGGTAACTGAAGTACAGAAAATACCAAATACCAAATTACCTGCCACATTATTTGTGCTCTATTTCTAGTAACACTGCTGTAAATCACCTGAAGTTGGCGTTGAATAAACTGCTTAAAGAATTGTGAGATTTACAATACAAAGATGAGTGTATGGTCTGAATAAACCTGCTTTCTAATATAATTTAAAACTTCTCATCCCTAAATTACCATAAACAATGATCACATTGGTAGTGAAGATGACATTAATGCTGTAAATAGCGACTGTTATTTGGCTTCAGTAAATACAAAATGGAGAACTGACTGTGTCATAATTTCATTCTATCATAATACAACAAAGTCATCATTTTCATTCACAGGCAACTTTTGTTTACCATCTTGGTCAACATAACGGATACGTAGGTACCGTTCTTTATTTAATTCCAACTTGTCCATTTGTAAATCACAGCTACGACCATCCACAAATGCAAATGCTGGGTAGAGGCCTTTCTGTTTAGGATTGGTAGCTAACTGAAAGAAAGAAACAAGGAAAAATATTAAATTTTCAAAAATGTTAGTTCATTTTTAGGACATAAAATATATAAAAAAAACATTATAATTTAGGTGGTCAGTAATCAGGAAACTCTTCCTTAAATTGCTCTTCTTTTCATTATGTTGATTAATTTCTGAGCCTCTTCATGTGAAACAAGAAGAATCCAAGTTCTGGAAATAACTATGATGAAAATAAGACTATGGTCTAATTTCAAGAGATAAAACTCAAAGCTAAGAATGGTGGAATGAATGATATGTGCATGTGTGTGCATTTGGAAATCTAAAAATGCATTTTACCCAAGATTAAATGGCAGATCATCTATTGACTATAATGAGGAAAATCAGAGATTATGAACTCAAACACCATAAAAAAAATTAAAAATTTGCAATACCATGAAGAGTTTTCAGCTAAAAAGCAGTCACTTGTTGTGGATTGTTATGTGTGCCAGGAAGAACAAGTCATGAAAACTTCTTATTTAGTATAATTTTGCAAATATATTGTTAATTATATCACAGTCCCCTTTTTTTTTAATTAAAGAGGAAATAGGAAATGGCTGATACATTTAATAAAGGTTATGAGAAATAAACTTGATTTTACAAATCTTGAACAAAGTCTACTCTACATTTTTTTCTTTTAATGCTGTTGAAGTATACAATATGAGATTTTTTTTCTTTAATGAGATAAAAGGAGGCATATTCATCTAAATATATAGTTCTTTTGAACTAACAGAAACCTTTGTTTTAAGCATAAAAATGCATATCATTTCAAAGAAAATATCTCACAAGAAAAGATAATTTTATGAAAAATGACCCAGTAACTTTATCATCTAATGTTAGCAGTAAATACATGCAGGAATACAGAAAGGATTTCAATTATTTAAAAAATATGTTAATAGAACCCAGTTAGCAGTTAGAGAATATGGCAATAAAAATTTAATTTGATTGGGGAAGACAAAATAAACCTTTCAGATAATTAAGCTTGATCAATTTTGATTTGGGCAAAACAATTATTTTTTTATGACCAAACTTAAAATTTGAAAAATGTATTCTATTTTTTAATGACACAATTTGAAAAATAAATTAAGTATAATTAAATAATCCAATTTTACAAAATTAATTTATATCATCTATTGAAGTGAATAAATGTTTGTAGTAGAATGTATTGTATGATAAATAGGAAGGAATTACAAGAATATAAAAAAGGATATTTTCCATTGTATTCAATAACCTAAGAAATTGAAATAAAGAAAAAGCTCAAATGAGGGATGCTAGGTGAAGGTATCAAAAGCAACATGTGTAAAAATAGGCTAAGCAAGTGCTTTTCAGAATGGGCAAATATATTAGGCAAGGGTAAAGAAATTTCAAAAACTGTCGAGAAAAATCTCTTACTTTCTTCAGGCAGTAACAATTAAAATTCTTGAAAAGATCCAAGGTGATCTGCTATAGAGATAAGAAAAAAAAAACACCTTTGTTTCAGTAGGATTAGCCAACTGACAAATTAATTGAAAGTTTTCAACAAGCTGTACAAGTAGGTTTATCTCTTTCTCATGGAAACCTAAATACCTGACAATTTTATAGAAAAAAATAAAACACCAAATTTCCAACTTAACAAAACATTAAAAAATAAACCCATAGAATTATTAAAAACTGAAACAGAATAATGTAAACAGTAAAAATTTTATAAGTAATGAATTCAATCAACAGAAGTGTCAAGTACATTATAAACAATATTATTTAAACTTATGATCATATATATATATATATATATATATATATATATATATATATATATATATGCATATACTTCTTCAGTTGAACTATTCATCCCATTCTTTCAATAAATGGTTCTCATATTTTAAAAGACAATATTAAAAACAAGGGAGATGCTAATGCATAAAATTAAAATGGTACAAAGTGAAAAAGTACTGTATAAAGAATCTTAATCATTTTTCTGTGATTAAAATAGATGTTTTACACAACTTTTGAAATTTCTTATCCTCATACATTTAAACATTTACCCTGACTTATCTTGAAATTTGAAATATTAAATCACTTTTTTCCATAAGTTAATACATTTTATGTAAATGTTAAAAAATGCACACATGAAACTCTGCACATCCTAAAATTATTATAACAAATACTTGAATTTGAAGTGACTTCTTTGCGTTCTTTTTTTCTATATTCTCCAACCAAATACATTAATAAGTGTGACTTCTAAGCAGCACTAAATGTAAACTTAATAGTAATTATATGAATTAGAACATTTTTGTTTGTACTAGCTTCTTTGTCTTTAAAACACATTTCTTGCACTAGGAACCTGTATGACAATTAATATAGCTACTTCTAAAGTCTGTGTGTACATTGTACATATTTCTTTTCAAGTACACCAAATTATATATGTAGGAAGAGCAAGTTTTATTCCACTACTATTTCTTCTGCTAACAGAGAAAGGCTCAGCTCTTATGAATTTTTGATTAAATATCTTCACAATTGGAAAAGAATTGGGTTTACAAAATAAAAGATTTATTATTGGAGAAAAGTAAGACTGACTCTCCAAATCACACAAGGCAATGTGAGATTATGAGTTATCAACATAAATTCTGATATTCTGACCTTCATCAAGTGGGCAGATTTTTAACTCTTATTAGATGTCTTTCTATTCAGATCAGCAAACTCATCTTGATTGTTATACCCACAATATTTCGGCCATTGTACCTTCTAGCCTTGTTTGGGTGTGTTATACTTGATAAACTTCTTGGAATCTTCCATGGAGATAAATTGTTCTCATTCTGCTTTAAATGCTTTGGGTATATCTCATATCAGTTCAATCTGTCTGGTCTATTCACATGTATGTTGTCTATTTCTTCCACTGAATCAGAGAATACACCTTTTCCACAATACCTAATCCAGGGATTGAACTCATGAATATCAGGAAACCAGTTATGCTTTAAGCAATCCACTAGGTCTCTTGCTGGTCCAAACAGAAATAATTCCTCATGTCAAAAATTCCAATGAAAATTACTTTGTTTTGCTTATTCTTTTCTTTCCTTCCTGCTTTTTCCCCTTTTTATTCACAGCTATTCATAAAAAGTGCTTATTATTTTGAACATTTTCAGAAAATATAAGATAACATTTATCTGCTTTGTCATAATCATGCTTTCTTTTATAGGCAAATAAAAGTACAAGACAATGATAAAAGTGAAGTCAGAAAATATTTGAATTTTCATTTCTCAGCACTTGATGTCTTAAATGAGTAAGATGCAAGTGTCTTATATTTAGAAAATGCCAAATAAATACTGGAGTAAGATTAAAAGTACATAACTGAAGCAATTAACAACTGATCAATCATTTTTAGTTTTATCAAACATTTTTTTATTAAGAATTTCAGTTTCGTCAATGTTAACTTTTTGGCATTAACTTCATTCAGTTGTTAATCACATTTTATTGACTATGTCCAATATGCAACTTTCCTGTATTTCTATAAGTGAAGGAAAGAAAAAAAAAAGTATGTGTTTGTATATCAAATCTCAAAATCTAAAACACTTTTCACAAAGCAAGTAAGAAATGCAACATTGATGCTTTTTGAAAAGTTGATCAAATGACACTAAGTAGAATTAATCATACTTAACATTTTGTGGTTTAATAGAAAAGTAAAAATTTTATATCTTGTGTGATTGCTTATATACACATGTGACATTACACCAAATACACACACTATTTCAATATAGAGCAGATTCAAGAATCATTAAAAATGTTAAATAAATCAACAATAAAAAACACATCACCATACATCATCACCAACTACTACGTAATAACAATAATACTAACAAATAAATAAAATAAAATCTTAAATTAAGTTTGTCAACATCAACTTGTCCCAAAATTCTACACAAGACATTCCTTCTGTATATTTTATTGACATATCCTTTTTCCAAAAGCAATAATATTAAATCAATGCAAGAAAAGGATTTACTTACATCTCTTGTTTGATTTACAAACTTCTCAAATTCTTCTTGATTCCTACAATAAAATCCTATTGTACAGCTTGGGTCCATATCTTCAAATGGCAATTTCCTTGGAGTTATGCAATGGAATGACTGCAACAAAAACAAACTAATTATAAGACATATATAAATAAACAATAAAAAAGCTATCTGAAAATCTTATTTATAAAAAATTTATTTTATGCGTATTTTTCCAATAATGAACCAAAAAATGAATAGATTACAGAACATGCTCAAATCAGCTACAAAAAAAATTATAAGAAAAAATTACTAAAGCCTAGTTTCAAAATAATGTTACATCCAACATTTTGAAGGACAAGAAATGAAATTAATTGGATTGCTCATTCATTTGGATCTTATCCAAATGCTCATAATGTACAAGTTTATATGCAGATTTCATAAGTTATTGACAGAGGGCACAGGATACATAAAAAAAAGAAAATTCCATAAAAGACACCAAGTGGGTGCTTATGAGTATGTAATGGCCAGTTATCAAGAAAAAAACATCATGTTTGTTGTTTGTTGGATTCAGTCATTATTGAATGCTTGTTGATCCAGGCAAATTTGTCCCTTGTCTCTTCCATATTTTTGCAGCAGAAGTATTGACAATCAATCAGTTTTAAGGGCCTGTTAGAGAGTACAAATGAACTTTTCAATAATGTTGCAGTCTCTTTTTTTAGGAGAAATAAATGTGGTGACTCATATTAATGAAAGCAGAAATAAGTATCCAGTTTTTAGATATATTTAAAAAACAGTTTTGATAAAAATATTATAGAAATGTAAAAGGATTACATCTATGTAGCAAATGTACAGATGTGGAGATGCCTCAGATTGCATGTGGACATGTTTGCCAACATCAGTTACATCTGTTTTTTTTTCCTATTAGGTGCAAGACTAGTAAAAAATGCTGAGGAGATGCTGAGAGTCATGTTGTCATGCCTTGGTGTGTGAAGTTTTTGCATTAGTCTCACCAAGTGTGATTTGAAAACAAAAACTACAAGAAAAACAAGTGGCTTGCCTGGAGCACCTTTGTCACTAAGGAGATTTGCCAGTCACTCGAATTTAAACTACAAGCTATTTCAGCATTCATGGTTGATGGTAAGTTTGACTTGAAGCTAATCTCTGAATTTGATGGTTCAGACCATGGTCGCACTATTGTTGAATGGTTTGAAAAGGCTCATCTAGTCTGTGATCTGTGTGGCATGAAGAACATTGCTAGCACTCTGCCACAGGAGGCATGTTTGCTGTGTTCCAACAAGTCAGCAAGAAAGAAAATATGTAGACCTTATCAGGGATGCCCTGTACGTTGCCTTTGCCACAGATCCATTCATAGTATACAACCTGTTCATAGCTAGGAGCTTGAATGCAAATGAATCTGTGGATGTCTACTTGATAGATCTCTCTGCAGACTATCAAATCTTTTATGGATCTGACTGTGGACTTGAGTGTGCATTTGTAACAGGGTTGCTTGAGCACATCAGGAAGTTGCTTCACACTTCCTCTTGAATGGATACACTGGATATCAACCAGCTATTAAACCAGGCTAGAGCCATACTGAAGGATGATACACTGGCGGCAGAACTGATTATGGTAGCCACAAAGCCTGAGCAACTGGGTACAGGCTTGACTTCTGCCAATGACATGCAGTGCGATATCAACTGCCACAGATGTGGTGGCGCTACTCACTTGGCTAGATAATGCTTGAGTCGATGAACAAGGCAAAGTTGTAGCTGGCAATGCTAGACGGTGCTATTGCTTTGACAAGCTGAGCCATACTGAGAAACAGATCAGGGGGACAGACATCAGTGCCAGTCTCATTCCCTGCCCAAATGTAAATGCAGTGCTGCCTGTAGTCAACATATTGATCAATGGGAAATGAAGTTCAGCTCTCATTGACTGGCTGCTCTTGGTCAATCATTAATGAAGAGCGATGCTGGTTGTGGACCAGAAAGCACATAGATGTGGAGATGATTGGTGACAGAATGCAGGCATGCTGTGGTATCAGGACCGTTAATATCTGCACACCCAAGGTTGAAGTCCTTGTGGTGCATGACACCAACGTGAGGTGATCCATGTTGACCAACCTGACTTTTCTGTGAAATTCAACCACCAACAAATGATCTGGACTGCAAAATGGAAGTGGACAGCAGATGTGGCGCCAACTCAGTTACGCAACAGGGTTTTGGAATACTCTCTTTCAAAGGACATTAGGGATGCCTATGAACAAGAACTCCAGATATGGATCACCAATGGTTGAAAAGAAACTAGGGCCACCCAAAGGCTTAGTGCCATTAATGGTCATTGTGCAGCACAACAGTAATGGACTATCACAAACTCAAATGCAAATGTTTGTTTGGCTGAACTGTGAGAGTGGCACCAACAAGGGTTAAATGTAGCCATACTTAACCTGCAAAAGGTCTGTCTTCAAGTACACATACATGAGTCACTGTGCCATATCAAACCATGATGATCAAGAGGAAGCAGTTTTGCCTAATTCAATGGAGTTTGGCCACAACAAGGCAGCTCTAGTCATTAAGTCCATTATTGACACTGAGTGGTCACAAGAGTCAGTTGGGAGAGCAATGTTGGTGTACATAGACAATGTGTATGTCAATGAGAGCATCATGTCTGCAGAACATGTCAGGGCAAAATTGACCCATCATCAGCTGATTGACGTGCAAAGACCCAGAATGTTTGAAGGATGCCGCTTGCATGCTTGGACTGGAAGTCTGAGGGGAGTGTAAACACCCTGCAGCAGAATGTCTTCTCACTATGTGGGGAAACTGCTGGAAACATCTCCCCATGTGTGGATGGTTGTGTGTGGCAATCAGTTTCATCAAGTGGCTGGCAAATGCAGTCACAAAGGGATGGGGGTTTCTGACACAGATGGTTAAGAAAACCATGGACAGAGTGCAACAGAAAGATCCTGCCTAGGGTGACTGGTGTGTGTAAACGTATTTGAAATCAACATATGGGTCAATGCAAGCTCCCTAGTGACAGGAGTGGTGCTGGAAAAAGATGGAGCAACATTGGAGGATGCATGCTGGCTTCAGCCAACAAATGATGCACAACATATCAACTTGGCTGAACTGGACTGTGCTGGCAAATTAAGTCTACAGATAGGTGGTTTGCCTTAAAAGGATTGATTCAGTGTCACCAACTATGTCTGATGTGGGTCATGACATGTACGAGGTAAGAGATCCTGTATGAGTAAAGGCCCCACACAACCAGTGTACAACAACTTTCTGAAAGTAATGAATTACAGGACTTGTTAGTCTGCAATCAGTCTTGGTGGATGGAATTCCCCCACCATGTCAGAGACCTTTATCCTTACCTAAGTTCATGATCTTCAACTATTAGTGAAGATTATATGTCCGAAATTGAGGATGAAATTCTTTGTGAGCATTGATAGGCCAGATGATCCCATGGATGAAAAATCACATGGAGATGAGGTGGAGGAACATGAACCAGTCCCAATTTGGAGAAGCACTCGATGAAAGAGTCTAGCTCCAAGTTGTCATAAGGTGGAGTGTAATGAATATGCTTGAGTACAAATGCATGAAAGGCCTTGGATCACATGTAGGCATGTTTGTCAACGCCAGTTACATCTGAGTCCCCCCCACTCCCCATTAACTGCAAGACTAGTAAACAGCTTTGGTGTGCAAAGTTTTTGCATTAGTCTCAACAATTGTGATTTAAAAACAAAAACTATGAGAAAAACGAGTGGCTTACTGAAGAAACTTTGTCACTCAGGAGTAACCCACACTAAGGAGATTTACCAATCATTCAAACTTTAAACTGCACAATGTTTTAGGGATTTACTGGAGGTGGAGGGGTGATTCAGATGTGATACAACTAACTTGGTCAAAAGGAAATTGAATCTTGTTTTTTCATAAGGCAAAAAGAGAGACATTTGAGTATTCATATTGTCTGTGAGAGCGTAATTGAGATGACAGATTATATACACAACAGAAAATGAAGATTCTTTTCATAATGAGAGAAGGAATAGATGAAGGAATAGATTTGATAATATATTCAGGTGGAGTGAGAGGTAACCACCATACACAACAGAAAATGAGAATTTTTTTATTATGAGAGGAGAAATAGATTTGATCTCATATTGGGCTGGAGGAGGTACATGAGACAATGAACACAAACAACAGCAAATCATGTTAGAAAGTGGTTTGGAAGATTGTTAAATAAACTGAAATTACAAGGAAAAATTAGGCTTTTTGGTCAACTACATAACTGACACAAAAATGTTATCAAAGGAAAGGAAAATTGCAAAGGAGAACTGAACTTTTCAAGAAAAGTGAGAATATTTTATTTTGTGACAACTGTAAAGTGGCTTGATATGCTTGCATTCAGCACCAAGTCTGGAAACACATTTTCAATATGAATGATTTGGGACAAAAATTACCTTCAGCATTGTCACAACATCAGGGTGTTGTGAGTTGACTGCTTAGCATCATTTTACTCAAAGGGTAAGTGTGCTGTGTGTTCCATTACTGGTGATCATTTAGTACTTACTATCATATGTACATTCATTTTAATCAATAAATAGCAGCCAATCAGTTGTATTGATTACCACTATAGCTGCTCAATATTACCTCTTTCACTTTACTTCTACCCTGGGTTTGTGGGAGGCTGGGCACAGCAACCAATCTATGATTGTGATGCAAACTAATTTTAATGCAAGAAAATAGACTTCCACCAGTGGGTTTTCTCTGGACAATGTTTTACCAACTGGAATTGCAGCCCTCCCCATTGGCAATACCTTGGTGCCTGTACCGTTCTCTCAGTATGTAATGTCTCTTTTGTGTCTTTGAATTCAAGACCACTGCTGCTGAGATTGCTGCTGCTTGTCACACTTGACTGCATTCACAGCAGCTTCTGTTTTATACTGCTGCTGCTGAAGCCTTGGTATCATGTCTCTAATAATGGCTCCTACATCATATTTATTTCTATGCTAGGCCTACTAATGAGTTTCTCATAACCTAGCATATGCACCAATTCTTTCAGATTTATGACTCTTCAGTGTTCTTCTGTTTAGTATTTTTACTTCATTCCACAGGGGTTTCCTTCCATACATGATCAGCCATGCCTAATTTCATTGTCTCATCCCTAATTATAGCTTTTCTGTGTTAAACCAGCCATCCTCTAAAAGTAAGGTTAGAAAAATATTGAAAAGTCTTAATAGCAAGCAATAACTAAATAATCACAAAACAAGATATCCCTAGACATGGTCAGCAAAATGAAAACAATCTATACCCATAGATTAAATAAAGGGGTAATTTTGAAATTTTTTGAAGGTTACCTGGACTGACAAGTACCTGATGAAGGTAGTGATAACAACAAAGATGAGGACAACAGTCCAATAATGTAAATAATGACAAGTTCTCATCACAGAAATTCAGACAGAAAAAAGTGTTTAGGAAATAGTTAAAAGGAAAATAAACTCTAAAACTTTAATACAAGAGGATGTGGAAAAGTTATAAGTCTAGCCAAGAACCAATTCAAAAAAATTTGTTGTTTCTTATTTTATGACAATATAATGTGGTGCTGAAATGTTCTCAGCCCATACCACATCCCAAAATCTTTTAAAATGACCAAACAGATTTTGGTTTAAGGGATGGGTTGAGAACTTTTCAGCACTACCTTGGTATCATCATAAAATAAGAGACAATACAATATTTTGACAACAAGAATTTGTTTACAGTTTTTGTGGCCAAAAGTTTTTGACTATCCAACTTTCATTTAACAAAAATTAAGAAAAATCTCAATAGCCTAAAAATAAAAGTCAATACTCACTTCAATGCCTCAAAATTTATTATTTATTTATTTTCTCTTAATTTCAATATAAACTAATATTTTGTATGGTCATCTATCACTTTGATAACCACTTCAATATGACATGTCATACTAGGTATGAGACTGACAAATATTTTACTGAAATCTTTGTGCTTCAGATATCCTGAATAGTGTCCACAAGAGTCTTGGCATTAGCTGGTTGCTTGTCTACCTTATTCTTCATGTAATCTCACAAATTTTCTATAGTCATAAATGTGCTGCAACCATGCATGTGAATCACTAGTTTATCCTGCAACAATTCCAGATTCTTTTGTCCGTTCATGGTTACTCCAGTGGCCAGGAAGTATAAACCAGCTGTTCTAAACTCATCTGGGTGGGAGGGTGTTTCATAGTTTGTAAGATATATTTTTCATCATCTCTCTCTTTTCTGGAAGACATAATGTTGATACACAACAAACTCATGTTCATCAGAGAACATAACATTTATCAAATGTCCTTCTGTTCAATATTCATAACTTTTGGTGAATGCCAGGCACTTCTTTTTCATTTCCATGGTCAATCTTGGTTTTCATGCAGGTTTGCAGAATATTTGTAAGAAACAATGACAACTTATATCTGTATTTCTGTGAACCAGAATAGCTTGAATTTATTTGCATGAGCTTGTTGATGAATGCGATGCAATGAATTTGATGATATGATCATCTCTAGATGTTTTTCTATGATCATCCACTTTTATTTCAGTCAGAATAAAAGCTATCAACTTGCTATTTGACAATAGCGTGGTTAACTGCAGTCATGCAACAACCTATTTGGACTGAGATTTCATGCTCTGAGTACTCCTCTCCATGTAATGTTACTAGTGGGGTTCTTTGAATGTCAGAAAGTGGCAATTTTTTTGCCTTATTTGAACCTGTAGAAACTTATGGAAAGCCATTTTTTAGGATAACTTCACAGTTTTGAAACTCATCAAAACTCAGTGTTTTAAACTTTAGAATGATGTAATATTGCTTATAATTGCAGTTTGTTTACATTAACTAAAAGACAATGATGAAATATCCTGCAATAATAGAGAAATGTTAAATTTTGTCAAGTGGTCTTAAACTTTTGGTGATGATCAAAATTACTGCATCATTACTCAGTAATTAGAATTTTGTTTTAAAATTTTTTACCTTCAGAAATTTTGAAACTGAAAAATATACTTTTCTTCATTCAGAGTTAAAAAAAAAAAAAAAAAAAAAAAAAATACTATTATGATTGACCTAACAAATTTCATATGTCAAATGTGAAAAAGAGATTTAATTAAAAAAATGTACACTTAACAGCATATAACATGACAGCAAATTCTACCAGAATTAAAAAAAAAAAAAAAAACAGTAATAGCATATTTTTACCATCAAATATTTTGTTTATAAAGATGCAACTAAATTTACCATACAAAGACAATATAACACATATACAGATTTACATATAAAGAAGTTGACTTACTGAGAAAGTGAAATCTCCTGACATGACATCAACATTATCTTGACAGTAATGAGGGTCGAGGTAGATTAATTTCTTATCTGAAAATGTAAAACTTATAGGTGAGGCAAAAAACATGAAGTAAAAATATAATTTACAATCAATACTTAATTTTCACTGCTGTTGATGTGTGTATGTATGTATGTATATATATATATATATATATATATATATATATATATATATATATATCCAATGTGCCTTAACTGACTTGACCACAGAACAACCTTACCAAAGTCCAAAATGTGCCTTTAAGCAAAATCTTTCTCATATGAAATTTAGCAAAATTTTAATAACTGCTCAGTTTTGTACCCGAATGTAAACAAAGTAATTTTCTAAGGAAATGTTTTTTTTTATTTATCAATCCAACAGATTTTTGTCACTTTAAATGTTATTTTAATGGATACTCATATTTGAGTAGACACTCCATTTATTTATTAAACAGTATATTTATATTTGTCCTGAATATTTGAGAATTGTTATTAAAGAAAAATATTCACCGTCCAGCAGGAGTTTGACCTTCATCCTTCTAAGTAGCGGTAAGGCTGCTACATGGCAAAGTCAGTTAAGGAATGTCAGATCTAACGATGGTTTTTGTATACCTAGGAGGAGGCAGGTTCAAATCCTGTTGGAGAGTGCATATTTTTCTTTAATGAGATTTCTTTAATATTCAGGAAGGGAGATAAAAATAAATAAATATGCTGTTTAATAAATAGATGGAGCATCTACTCAAATGTGTATCTATTAAAAATAGTGTTTAAAGGGATAAAAATCTGTCAGATTGATAAACAAAAATCCATTACCTTAGAAAATTACTTTGTTTACATTTGGGTACAAAACTGAGCAGATATTAAAATTTTAAGGAATTTAATACAAGAGAGATTTTGGTTAAATGCAAGTTTCAGGCTTTGCTTGATTGGTAAGACTGCTCCATATTGGAGTAAATATAATAAGGGTTTTCCTCTGCCTAAAGGGATGCAGGTTTGAAACCTATCAGAAAGCACATATGTCTATAATTTTTTTTTAATTAAATCTTTCAAATTTCTGAATAAGTTGTTTTAGCAGTAAACTTGCCAAAATCAAAATTAACTTTTTTTTTATATTATTTCTTCCCTTGAGTACTTTTGAATGTTACTTCATTCATTTTCAAAGATTGTTCTGTGTGTAGTTATGCAACTGATTTTTAATTCTGGCATTCTCACATTTTATAAAATTAATATGAATTTTGGTAAATTTACCAATAAAAGAAAACAACTAATTTGGAAATTTGAAAGATTTAATAAAAAAATTGATAGCTCAAACTTGTCCATATTATTTAACAAAACATCATGAAATGTCAATTGCTAGCATTTGTATTATAAACTAACTATACTTAACTGTTATTTCCAAATCAGTGGAGACATTTAGTAGTGTACAGTATGACTTGCTTTGTGGCATATTTTTATATTATGCGTTAGGGGTGCTATTTATCGTAATCTGTAATGCACAGCCTCCAATCAAAACCAAAATAAATAAGAGAAAAAACAAAAAAATAAAAATTAAAAAAATAGAATTCTGTAAATATATAAATCTATAACACCTGATTCAAATTTATTAATAAATTTTATGCAATCTAGAAATAAATGCTGAGGATTGTTAATTCTAACAAAGATCAAAAATGAGATGAAAGAGGACAAGACTGGAGAGTGACTGTATTAGATGATGACATATTTTTAAAAATTTTCCTTTGTGGTCAGTAGAATATTGCCTTATTCTCATGACATATTTAAAGGATATTAAGTAGAAAAAAAAACAATTTAACTGCTGACTATCCAACAATGAATGTTTTACTCACAGATAAGATGCCTCATTGATTCAAGTTTAAATCAAATGTTATTACTGTTGACAAGTTTGTAGCATTAGTCAAAGAACAAAACCAATTTCTGCTTAAAATTAAGCAATGTTTTATATGCTCAATAATGAACAGGAAATTATATGAAAATACCAGAAGCTGCAAATAAAAAAGTTTTTACTCCTTCCATTTCAGCCTCTCTGAAAGTAAACAGCAATATGCTGTGAACTGTAAATCCTGCAGTTAGGAATTGAGAATTATCTGCTCCTGTTATTATTAGGAAAGGATACTTTTTAAACTATTTACTTCCAGTTTGACATTCAAACAACACTACTAATATAGCTATTTAGAGTAAAATAAAATAGATAAAATACAAGTGCCAAAAAATTAATCATGTAGCTTCTCTCTTTGCCTGGTATGGCGTCTATGATGAGGTACTGATATCTACCCAGACATGTTTCAGAATTCTCCATAAGTGACTTGTGTTTATTGGATCACAGCTGTTTGAGGTTTCCTATAGCCCCACTGAACTTAAATAAAGTCAATTCAGGTTTGCTATGGTAAAAATTTTCTATCCCAAGTAAAAATCATCACAAAAATGGTGAAAGTCATTTTGTCACAGCTTATTTTCTCTCAAAAAATGGATTTTCATACTTTTATAGGGGTAAAATATTGAAAAATGACTGTTTTATCATCATCTGAACAAATATCAAGGAAACTTTTGAGCTGAACCCCAAGAAACTAGGTATTTTCTGAAAGCAAACAATATATTCTTTCATTTAAAAGTAAAATTGGCTGGTCTAAATGACTCAAAATTTTTTTTCAGGGGTAAAATGTGAAAAAATAGTGAAAATTTTTCATTTTTTTCTTGCTCTAAACAAAAATTTTTCCCCATTAATGGAAATTAACCAGTTTTTTTTTTTTTTTTCAGAAAGCCTAAATCATAATCAAACTATTTCAGGCATAAAATTGAGTGTTTTGAAGGAAATCAACATTCCTAGGGGGTCAAAAAATGCAACAAAATCCATTGGTAATTTTCAATTATATGACTGCCAGGGGTTAAAAAAAAAAAAAATGGCACCTGCAAACGGAAATCTTCAGTTTTTTTTCAAAAAATAGTGAAAGATTTATAAACCTAATTCCTTGACTACCAGAAACCAAAGGTTTTTTTTTCCCAGATAAAAAAAAGAGTGAAAATAGCTCACAATGCGATAAGAAAAAATTAATTTTGGTTTTTTTGACAACAACACTAGCCACATATTTTTTTTTCGCCATTTCATATTTCCCATCGCCGGGCCATTTAGCCATTCTTTTTAGTCAATGATGTTCACGCCAAATGAAAGAGAAAGGGATGAAGTTTGAATGATATTATTTTGAAGTGAAAAATATTTTTTCATAAAAAAAAATGGTGATTTTTCTCAGAAATTGAGCATAATTTCTTAATGCTAACTGCCAAGTGACATTTTCCACAGCCAAATCGAAGATTAATTACCAGTGAATAATTCCATGTGCAAACAATAGCCGTCTGGATCCTATAATGTTGCCTGAAAAGGTCCAGAAGTTTATTGATTGATCGAAAACTTATTGCTCATAATTGTGTTTTTCACGGTCAGTTTCCATTATTTCATCTTGATGTCATTTTCAGACAGCCAAGTCATCAAGGATTCACGAAAACAGTTTGGTATAGGTTTGCTTTAAGATCTTTATATTCTATGAGGTGTTTAAAATGTTACTGATGAATGAGTTTTTCACCAAATATTTCGTTTATATGCGACATTGGATTTTCCTATATGACAAAAACAAGGCTTTTAAACAGCCATGGGATGTAGCTGCAAGGAATTTCATAGGGTCTGTAACATGTCCCATATATGTTGAGTTGGGTTTAAATATGATGACTGCATAACTATGGAATACATTGAAGTTAGCTGAGTGTTTCTGGAACCAGTTTTATGTTACCTGTGCATGTTAGTGGAGAGATTGTGTTATATTGCTTGAATAAACCATCACCATTGAAAAACATGTTAGGCATAAAATGAGTACAAATGATTTGCAATAATATTGTTGTCAAGATGGACTTCAATTTTAATAGTGGTCCTTGCAAACAAAAAAATTCACCACAGATTTGCATAACACCTTGATGACAGACAAGATCTATAAACTTGTGTGGTATTTTTCATACAAGTACTTTGACTGCCTGCCCCAAAATGTTGGAAATATCAGTGATCTAACCAGGTGAAATGGTGCCAGTCTTCCAATAGTGATGTTCTATAGCTCAGAACAATAACATTAACATGTCATGATGTTGTGAATGTTGTAGAGTGCAATGACTGATGGCTTGAGCAGCACCAGCATTGAATTGGGATGGTATTTGATACAATATTCATTGGGTGCTTACTATTCTTATCAGTTTTACATTACAGTGAACACCCACAGTTTTTATAAGCTGTTGAGGTCTTGCATTTACATATTCCTGGTATACCCTTATTACTGTGGCCTCGAAAACATATAGGGCATTTATATAGAGAAATAAAGTACCCCACCTTTCTGGCATCAACAATCAGTTCTAGGTCAAACTGTCAAATCTTGTAAGTGGCCCATGGCTGCCACAATTAGTACTTCTATACCTATCCAATTGAATTCATTTCTACTAGTGAGGGAGAGTGACACCATTTAGTGTACTGCTCTAATTTTTTGGCACTTCAGTTTACAAAGCTAAAAGTTAGTTAAGAAATTCACCTTATTGAAAATGTATGTGAACTTTTCCTTAAAGTAAATAAACTTTACATTAGTCCCTATTAATTTGAAATATATAACATTTTAAAGCATTTTTTAATATCCTCATATCATTACAAAACATCTTCAACTTTTAAACATGCGAGTATCATTATTAATTATTGATAACTTCTGAAGTGTGAAGGAGGTGCTAAAAAGTTCTTTGCTTAATCCACATATCAAAATCTTATTAAAACTGATAACTTATCTTCTCCTTATACTAGTTTCATGATTTTAACTTAATACTCTATCTCAAAGAATTTCAAAATATAAAGAAAAACATACCTTGCCAACCAACAAAATATAAGGAATGTTTTGGTTTGCCACCAATGATCCCAATGCAATGTTCCTCAGCAAGCAGATTCTGTAGACATGGAATATAGACAGAATTAAGTGACTCCCCTCCTAGACGCACAGGAATCAGTACAATGACAGCACGCTTCCAACTTCCAGCAGTGCCACTCTTCGGCATATCTACACTGGCATCAACACTAGCATCTTCAGCATCACTGCCATTTGGCATTTTAACTAGAGTGTTGTTGTTCCCCGACATGCACAGGTCAGCAACCTCTTGTAAGTAAACTGATTACAAAGAAAAGCAATTAGAATAATAGACACAACATTATAAACAAAACTGTCAGTCACTATCCATAAAAAAACCATTAGTTACTTGTATGATACTGTATTTTATCATCTGAACAATTAGAAATACACAGTAACAATAGCAAAACAGAATTGATCACTTGCTAAAAGAAATGTAAATGTCAATAACTACCTCCAATTACTATAAAACAAACTTTCATGAAAAAGGTATTGTCATTACTTTCTAACATCCTTTAATCTTCAAACTTAAACTTCAATATCATGAAATGCTATTAATACATGCTAACATTGACAAGATTTCCAGAACTTCTGCCAAATCATTTTTGAAGTATTTAAATTTTGGTGAATTTAAATACAAAATTAGTGTGATTGGGATTGCTAAGAACACTATCAAGAATTCTTGAAGTTTGGATTCTTAATGCTAGCTAATCTGTTGTTTACTCACTGAATCTGTATATAATTAGAGATAAGAACTAGATAGAAATTCATGGGATCAATTTTTGTGCATGTAAAATATTAAAAACTCTGAAGTGCAAAAATCTTTATTAGGAATCAAATAATGAAAGGCAAATTAATCACTGATTATTTTTAATTTTGAACTTAGAGGAAATGGAAGGAATTGTTCATGTGGAGTTGTGCTAGTGGCTGTGCAAAACAGCATTCTAATTGCATATAGGGCCACTTCCCAATTCTGTAAAGCTACCCCTTTATCAGTAGCTGCTAGTTGAACAGTTTTCCATATAACTCCATTATAACTGTCACTGGCCATTATCTTGAGGGTTATATGGGGTTGTTCTATTTACAGTAACTCTTTGCTCTAGTAGAAATTGTTCTATGTGTTTGGACATAAATGAAGCCCTTCTGTCTGAACAAATATATGCAAGTAGCCTGAGTAAAGTGCAAACACTGAGTAAAGTGCTTGTATGACTGTTGCAGAGGATACATCAAGGCAAGGTATCCCAAAAGGAAACTGAATATTCATCAATTATTGTCAGTATATATGTTAGAAGTTTTTGATGGAGGCAGTCCTTTAAAATCCATCGTGATTCTTTCATATGGTTGCACAGCTTCTATGACCTTGCTGGTGTTAGGACAGTAAAGCCTAGGTTTATTTTCAGCACAAGTCTTACATGAGCTGTTAATTTCTTTCACATCCTCTACTGAGTAGGGAAGGTTTTTGGTCTTCATCATATCAACCATGCATGTAATACCTGGGTGGCACAACACTATGTAGTTTCTTTAACTCTTCTTTGCAAGCAGCTGAGCTACATACACGAGAGAGGGTGTTCACAGCTGCGTTTTCATCAGCAGGGTGGTAGATTACATCAAACAAGTAATACAAGAGTTCAATCCTCCACCTGCCTATATTCTCATTTTTAATTTTACTTGTCACTTTCTGGTTAAACATGAATGAGACTGTATAATTAGTTTAAAACATCACCCACTCAAATAATGCCTCCATTTTCTCAGCAATAGCATAGGATTCTTTCTCTATTGCAAAATGCCTACATTCCGGTTCAGACAGAGTTCTGTAGAAAAAGGCTATGGGCCTCCCCATTTGTCTTAAAGAGGCATCTATGGCACATTGTGAGGCATTTGTCTCTACTACCAGATGTAGGGTATGATCAGATGCAGTAATAGTTGCTTTTGCGATGACTCTTTAACTCATTAAATGTTTTCTCTGCTATAGGAGATAACAGGAATTGTCATACTGTTATTAAAGGGTGAATTTTGTTTGAAAAAGACAATAACCAATGGCCATAGTGTGCAAACATTCCTAATGCATGGCACAGAGTGGATAAATTTTTTGAGACGAGTAGGCTGAGCAATGGATTTAGATGTTTTGGATCAGGTTTTATGCTATTTTTACTTATTATATACCCAAGTAATTTTATATTGTTTTTTTATCTAAAATAGTTACATTATTGATGTAAGCATAGGTGCCTTGCAGGTTCTCTTTTTATATTATCTGGCCTATCACTTGTTGAAAGCTAGCTACCCTTCTAGTTACACAGTATTCTGTAAAATTGATAGAGTTTGCTGCTGGCCTCAAAGACTGTATAGGGTTTATCACTGGGCCTTATAGTTACCTGATAGTAGGTACTTTTAAGGTTCAGAGTACTATACATGCTTTTTGGGCTGTTTTCTCTATTATATCGTCTATTCTTGGCAGAGAGTAGGTATCCAGCAAAGTAAACCAGTTTATAGTTTGGATATAGCCGATTACAATTCGCATTTTTTATTCTCAGAGGAAATTACGAAGGCTTGGGCTCTCCACAGCAAATGGCATGGTTTGATTATACCTTTCAACATACAAGTAACTTCGGTTTGGAAAAATAATTTATCCTCCTCCATGTGTTGCCTAGATTTAGTAGCTACCAGTTTACAATCCAGTGTTAAATTGTGGAAGAGAGTTGGGTACGGCATTCTCATAGCTGCTAGGTCACAGTCTTGAAAGGGTGGCTTAGAGCGTCCAAAGGGTATTTCTACTAATGAATGTTGGCACAAAAGGTTGTGCCATAATATTAGGCCACAGCATACATCTTTCATTGGTAGACATCTTACTCTTTGGTACAGAGTACCCTTTACTTGTAGATCAACTGAACAGTATCCAAGTATTTTTATAGAAAGAGATGAGCTAGCCATTGCCATTAGGCACAGGTAAGTTTTCCATGAATTTACTTTTGCATTGCTTGTGTTAAGGAAGTTTTCAGTGCTCCCCATGTCAATCAGTGCTTTTAGTAGCTGTTTGCTAGAACTGATAAACAAGCAAGTGTATCCAATTTTACTGAACAAGATTCTGTATCACTCTTTTTTTCACTTTTACAAATTTTTGTCCAATGTCCCTGTTTTCTGCATGTATAGCATTTGTCTCTTCTAGCGGGTCATAATGACCTTGTGTGTCTCTTGCCCATACAGAAACAAACATGTGCACAGCCCATTTATGAAGGCATCTTATATTAATTTGGCTTGATATTGTTCCACTGATACAGAAGGAAATGAACAGTCCTTATTTAGTTTTTATTAAGGCTTGATAAAATCTGCCAATGGAATCCAAGGGCAGTTGATACCTTGTAGCCAATAAGTGTTTAGAGACCATTTCATTTTTCTTTTTTATGTAGAATCCTATCTGGTATTGTTAAAGCCTCTTCATAGGAAGATGCATCTGTGAAATACTCAAACTTGTGCTGAGACATATTTAGTGAGATAGTGCAGCTTATTAGAACTTTTGTTGCAGTATGTATTTAAGAGGTTTACAAAAGATATTCTCCAGTGATGACATGCTAGTTCAGCATCAGATGCATTGGGGCAATAGTAAGTTTCTCTTAAATTAGCCATTATCAAAATGGTTAACAATGAGAATCCATTAAATTGTAGAATTGTTTGAGACAATACAAATTTGCTCAACAGTTTAATGAACCCAGTATTTACCCAAGTCCTCCCCACAAGGAGGGATGTGGCACAAGGCCAGTTTTTTTTGCGTTCAGGTAAAAATTTCTCGTAGACCCTGCATACATAAGGTCAGGTTGCTGTCTACCTCCCCAGACGAGACTCTACTCATAGTCATAGCCTCAGCAGAGAGGTCAACTAGCAGAGCTTTAATAAACTCTGCATAGCAGCAGAGTTCTCCTGACTATGTGTTCAGGATAGATCTATTAATGGGGGGAAATGGATCATACCACAAGTGTTTTAAATATAAAAAAAATTAAAGGAAATTATTTGTTTAATTATTAAATTTAATAATTCAGAATTAATTTTACAAAAATATTATTCAGCAAATTTGTAATATTTTTGTCAGAAATACTATGGTTTTGCAATGTAAATTTTCAAAAAATAAATAGGTTTTAAATATCATAAAAAGCAGCAAGATATTTTTGAAAATAATGTGTTCTCTTTTAAATAACACATTTTCATAGAAAATGTAAATTTTTAATACCGTTCAAACTAGTTTGTAATATGAGATCAGGTTTTTATTTTTGTCACTTTCCACATTCATAGCCATTTGAACTATTATTTAGGGCTTTCTAAATATATTTCATTCTAGATTTAAATAGATGCCAGCTAACTTATTTTAATTGTAATAAAGATGCAAACTTGAATGTGTATTTTAAAATGTATTTCAAGTTTGGGAAATTTCATGTGGCAATTGACTATGCAGTGCTATACCGCTTTCTGAAATTGTGTTAAAAGTCATATCTGTGGAAAGCTGTGTATGCTAGTCTTGGGTTTTGTCAGATGCTACACATAAAGTGGATGTTTTTTTGGGTGAAGTGAGCCACTTTTTTTTTTTTCACTACAAAAGCATCATAATGAGGAAACATTTCAAGACTAAAAATTGAAGTAATTACATTTTTTATTTCATTATAAATACCATGTTTTTTTAGAACATGTGTAATCATGGCTCTCCGCAGATTGTTATTCTTTATTATCTGTAAATTATCATGACTTCTTGGGAAATATAATTAAGGGGTTTCCTGTTGCATTTTTCCGTTTTGGATTTGGAGTTATGGTTACCCTGTCTACACTACTATTTAACCCATACCTGAGGGTAACAGTAGTGGATAGTGAAATTAAAGACAAAAAAAAACATTAGTATGTGTGTACCGAAGTGATTTTAGATTGTGTAAGAATTCCAAGATGCATACACTGTTAATCTCTAAACTACACTCACTATAGGATGATCTGTTTTCTAAGAAATTACATCTATCATCCTGGTTTTTACTCATATAGCTACAGTGTCTGAAAATAATTAATCCATGTCATCTTTGTTAAATGTTAATACACTATAGTTGCACATCAATGTGACGATAAATATTCGCACTTACTGGATTCGAAGCATCCAAGATGTTTTGTGATGGATATATGCATAAAACCAAGCTAGACAGTTTGTCATTTCGTCAGCTACATCCTTTCCTCTTGCAAGTTTGGTCCAAGAAAAGTACATTCTCCAACATTCGTTTATTTTATGCTGCTTGGCATGATTTGTCTAGTGTCGGTCTGCATACTGATTGGTCGAGCTGGAGACTCTGATTGAGAACGAGGCCAACAGCGATGATTGATGCATTGGCCATGTTTTTGGTCAATAAAAACGGTCTGGGACATAGGCTGACAGTGCAGCTGGGACCATAGTGACATGCACTGTAATAGAGTTTCATATTAAGTTACAACTCTCTTTATTTTTGTCTGGAAGCTGGATGCTAGCTTCGAACCTACTGTTAGAGTGAGCAGTGTAATTACCGGTGTCTACCGGAACGTGGGAGGAGCACACTGAACATCAACAAGCTATTTCAGCAAAATGGGAGACAAAGTCGACCTAAAGCTAATCCCAGAGTTCGATGGTACCTCTGTTTTGGAATGGGTGGAGAAGGTTGAATTGATTTGTCATCTGTGCGGAGTGAAGTACATTGAGAAGTTGCTTCTATTACGGTTGACGGGCGGCGCTTTTGCGGTGCATCAGCAACTAAGTGACAAGGAAAAAGAATATCCGGCTAGAATCAAAGCAGTACTTTACAACGCGTTTGCTATTGACCCTTGTACTGCGTATGAGCAATTTGCGGCTCGAAGTTGAAACTGTGGATGTCTATTTGGCTGCATTAAAGAAGCTGGCGACCCTGTTTGGTGGACTGCCCGAACGAGCGTTGGCGTATGCATTTTTAGCAGGGTTTCCGGACAGAGTAAAACAACTGTTGCAGGCAAACTCCAGTGTGAACACGCTAGCACTTGACAAACTAATGGACCAGTCTCGAACTATCCTTAAGGATTCCTCAGCCCCAGAGGAATCTTTCGCAGCGGTCGCACAACCAAGACAAAGTAGTGTCAGAGCTTCCCCCAGGTCGGGTCCACATGCTGGTATAATTTGCTACAAGTGCAAGGGCCAGGGTCACATGGCTAGGAATTGCGCGAGTGAAAAACGACAAGTGCGCTGTTTCCGATGCAATGAAGCCGGACACATGGCTCGAAATTGTCTGAGAAACGAGGCCAGGACAAGATGGCACCAATCTCATCCCCAAACGACATCTAAACAAGGCGCTGCCAATCATCCAAGTCCGTGTTGGTGAGACGCCATGTTTGGCCCTCCTCGATTCTGGCCATTCTCGAACAATAGTAAATGTGGGACTCTGCTGTACCTGGAAGAAGAGAAGCATCAAGGTAACCACCATAAACGGTGAAACGCGTACGTGTCATGGGATAGGGGCAGCGAGGATCTGTACAGACACTGGGAACTTCGCCGATATTGAAGCGCTGGTGGTGCCTGAGAAGCCATTAAACTTTGACCTGCTGCTAGGCTATGATGCCATCAAAGCCTTAGGTGGTGTTCTCATCACGCAAACAGGTACCATGAAGTTTCAGGAGGTGGCCCTGTGTGTGCAGCACTAAAAATCGACCAACCTGACTTCAGTGTTGAATTTGACAAGCGTCAGAAAACCTGGACCGCCTCATGGAAATGGACGGCAGACAGGGAACCAGTCAAGCTACAAAACAACATAGCTGAATATGTACCCAACCAAATACGACCTGCTTACGAAGAGGAGCTGCGTGCATAGATTAAAGATGGCTGGTTGATTCCTTATCCTCGTAAAAAACTTGGTCCGCCTAAGGGTCTGATCCCATTGATGGTGATTGTGGAGCAGAGCATATCCAAGGTGAGGCCGGTGATGGATTTCCGAGAGTTAAACCATTTACGGCTGATGCTGATGATTGTGCCAGCAAGCTGAGGGAATGGCAATAGCAGGGATGTAAATTTTGCCTGCTGGATTTAAGAAAAGCCTATCTGCAAGTGCATTTCAGACGATGTTTGCCGGCAGAAGATACTGTCTCATCAGACTGGGCTTTGGCCTAAACGTAGCCCCATAAATAATGAAAACCGTTATCAGTGTCGTGTTGTCTCAAGAAGAGACAGTTAAAGAAGGGGCATCAGTGTACATTGATGATATCTATGTGAATGAAGATGTTGTGTCATCACTGAACGTAAAGGCAAAACTGGCACAGTTTGGCTTGACCTGCAAGGACCCGGAATGGCTAGAAGACGGCACCTGCGTGTTGGGTCTGGATGTTCGAGGGGAACATGGAACCTTGCAATGGAGATGTGGAACTGCAGTTCCTGGTATACCCAACATCTTAACAAGACAGGCTATTTTTTACCTCTGTGGAAGGCTTGTGGGGCACCTACTGGTATACGGATGGCTTTGCTGTGGCGGCAGGCACCATGAAATGTCAGGCAAGCACGGTCACCAAAAGATGGGATGATGAGACAACTGACATGCCGCTCATTCGCATGGTGACGGAGACCATAGAGAAAGTAAAACAGAATGACCCTGCCAGAGGGAACTGGTGCATGCCCAGAGAGGAAATGAATGTCTGGGTCAATGCAAGCTTCCTAGCAATTGGAGTCCTACTGGAGAGGGATGGAATGGCAATTGAGGATGCATGCTGGTTGCAACCAACGAACGATGCTACGCACATCAACCTGGCAGAGCTGGACGCCGTACTAAAAGGAGTCAATTTGGCACTCCAGTGGAAAGTAAAAAAGTTGCATCTGCAGACTGAATCCTTATGCGTATACCATTGGGTGTCGGACACCTTGACAGGCAAGGCCAGTGTGCGCACCAAGGCAACCAGTAAGATGCTCATTAGAAGACGGCTGGGTACTATTAAAAAACTGGTCACAGAGTATGATCTGTCCATGGATATAACACTGGTAACATCGAGCTGCAACCTTGCTGACAAATTGACTCGGATACCACAAAGATGGTTTGACGCTGTAAAAAAAAAAAAAGGACGTTGAGCCTGTACCACCAATGTGCGCTGCATCTGTGGAGGAGCCGGACAAGATAATGAGGATACATCATTGTAGTGGGCCCCCCGGCATAAGAAAGACGTGCTATTTCGTATGATTGACCAATCCGTCAGTATCTACAAATGCCGTGAGGGCCGGGGTCAAGGGATGCCGAACATGCCAGTCAATAAACCCTGCACCAGTTAAATGGCAAAAAGGAAAGCTGGGAGTAAGATGCACATGGAGCAGGCTGGGTATGGACATAACCCATTACGGCGGCCAGAATTTCCTCATGCTGATAGATTGCGTGCCCACCAGATTCGCAGTCTGGCAACCGTTGTCATGACAGGACTCGTCAAGCATAATCCGCCAATTGGAGTTTGTGTTCTATGAACGAGGACCACCGGAAGAAATCCTCACTGATAATGACACTGCCTTCTGCAGCAGACAGTTTCGGCGCTTCCTGGACAAATGGGGGATCCAGCTTCAACTGTGATGTGTACATGTGCCAAGTGGTAATGGCATAGTGGAAAGATGCCACCGAAGTATAAAGAGGATTGCTGCCAGAAAGCAGTGCACAGTCGTGGAAGCTGTATACAGATACAACACGACACCGAAGGACAATGTATCTGCTTTAAGTGTCCCCACCAATGTGATATATAGCTACCAGGTATGGGTCAAAGGGATCGACGATGAGTACCTGCCCGATCGACGAGAAATGTGTGGATCATACAAGATAGGAAAGGCCGTCTGGGTAAAGCCTCCCAATTTAAAAAAGGTTGTGTCACCGGTATTGTCAGTGAGCACACCATATTGGTCGATGGACTCCCACAACATGTGAGGGATCTGTGCCCTGTCCTCAACACAATCCCCTCCGTGAGCAACAGTGAGAATGATTCGTTGGAAGGCGAATTGCTAATTGAGCCTGTAGCTAGCGATTCAAACAATGGCCCACCGAGTGGCCCTGATAGCTCTGACAGTTCTTCTGAAAGCTCCTCTGAAGAAGTTCCGATAGTGCCCCTTTGGAGAAGCACCCGAAACAAAAGACCACACCCACACTGTTATTTGTGTGATCAGGAGACCAGGGGGGAGTGCAACGATAAATATTCACACTTACCGGATTCAAAGCGTCCAAGATGTTTTGCTTGTTGGGCTGCTGTTTTATGATGTATATATGCATAAAACCAAGCTAGACAGTTCGTCATTTTGTCAGCTACATCCTTTCCTCTTGCAAGTTTGGTCCAAGAAAAGTACATTCTCCAACATTCGTTTATTTTATGCTGCTTGGCATGATTTGTCTAGTGGCAGTCTGCATGCTGATTGGTTGAGCTGGGGACTGATTGAGAACGAGGCCAACGACAATGATTGGTTCATTGGCCATGTTTTTAGTCAATAAAAACGGTCTGGGACATTGGCTGATGGTGCAGCTGGGACCTTGGTGACATGCACCATTATAGAGTTTCGTATGAAGTTACAACTCTCTTTATTTTTGTCTGGAAGCTGGATGCTAGCTTCGAACCTACCGTTAGAGTGAGCGGTGTAATTACCGGTGTCTATCGAAACGTGGGAGGAACACACTGAACGTCAACAATTAACATGCCTAATAATTAGAATATACATTTGATAGAATATAATCTAATATAATTTGATTTGATATAATATAATCTAATTCCCAGTAATCTGAAAAAGTATTAAACAGAAAAAAAGCTAACATACATAATAAAAGAACCGAGAAAAAATTACCTGTGCAGTCAGAAGCTACATACACACATAGTTCTCGAAGGACTGGTTGATATTCATAACTTCTTTCCATGGCTTCTCTGTGGAATTATAGATAAATAGAAAATTAGAGAAATAATTCAGTACCTAAAACTATTACATAAAAACAAACAAGAATAGATACAAGATATAAATTTCAGACTAAAAGAGTAAGTAAGAAAATTATGAATATTAACTCAAAATATGAAGTAATCAAAGGGTCAAAATTCTGATTATTTGATGGAAAAATCCAAGTTATCTGATGTCTTTAGTGTTTCTTTAGTTTCTTCAAGAATTTGGAATATCTGAAATCTATTTTATGTAATTAAACACAAGATAACTACTTCATGATTAAATTAATAGCAATTAGGAATTTCTCAAGACCAGATTGAGAAACCAGTATCTCCAGAAAATTAAATTAATGAAGTCAAACAGCATAGACAATATGTTAAAATGTGGGGAAAAGTCAAAAAAAATCACAATAAAATCATACTATCAAACCATCAATGAAAAAGTGTCCTGGTCTCAAAAAACATTTTGAATCACATTTACCAAAATACATCCAATGATTACAAAATCCATCTCCAAACATAAACAATAATGAACCTACTGATGAGTAAATTAAGAAAATTATTAAAAAACTAAGGAATAATAAAGCATCACTTGGCATTGAAGCTGAACTTTTGAAAATAGCTTACTTACTTCTCAAATTCAACATCAAGTTTCTCTATTTTATGAAAGAAACCTGGAATCAGAAATGCATCTCCAAAAAGTGTGGTTTATCATGAACTATGGATGCAAAAAGGTAATCGTCAAGACCTTCACACAGAGATATCTCAATTGCATCTATTATAGTGACAGTATTAATGAACATTATATTAATATATACACATTGTTCTATGAAAGTCAATTCCCCATGGCCTAATCTGGTTTTCGTTCTGGCATACATGTCATCAAACAACTCCATATCTTCTTCTCATCAATTAGAAATCACCTTTCAATTTCTGAATCCACTGATCTAATAGAGGAACTTTATCAGTCTACATGTCTGGCAAGGACCCCAGTAAGGAAACAGTTCAAAACTCATCAGGAGTACAAGAAGGAAAAAATGGGAAACACGATCTATTTAATCTTTTCATAGATTATGCCCTGTGCATTTACAAGTATAAAGATGGGCACTGATCATTTAAACATTCCATGCTACATCCCAAGCAAATCTACCAATAGAAGACAATGATCCTGCTTTCCATCCTGAGGCCAATGTACTGATGGTGAGTGGGGGGTGGGTATACTGATGACATAATTGTTCATAATTGGGATGAGAATGATTTTGAACACAAAAACCATCTTCTACCAAGTGTTCCAAGAAATAGAAATAGAACTCAAAATAAACCTTTCCAAAACAGAAATTAAGATCGAAATTGGAACAAAAGTAGTGATGGCACCGACCCTTAATCCACCATAAAAATTCAGGATGTGGATTGATGAAATACTAAACACTTCAAATACCTCTGTGTATAGATCAGTTATAACAAATTTAGCATAGAAGATAAGGAAATTGATCATACAATGGGCTGTGCTAGAGGTAGTTTCAACCAACACCACATATTGTTACAAAACCAAAACATTAACCTAAAAAATCAAGTCATGGTCTTAAATAGCCTTGTCAGATCGAGACTTTCATATGAATGTCATATATGGCACCAAACTTGTTCAGAAATATCTAAACTGTCAGCTGTATACAACTGTTTTCTAAGATCAAGGGTTAAAAGTGGCTTTGAGCACTAGGAATCTTAGCGAAGACCATACTTCTTCTAAACATGTGAACTGGTGCTACAGAATCACAAAGAAAGAACTGTACCAAATAACAGAAACCACATCAATTGAGGTCTAGCAACAGCTAAAATGGATATCACATGTAACTCAGAGAAAAATAATGATATAATCAAGATGTTGACATTCCACACTTTGAAAAATTGTTTTAATAAAAGGTTTTAAATCTGAGAAATTGAAAAATTCAATACTGAAAATAAATTTAAATCAACAGTAGTAAACTTGAGAAATACTGAATGTTTCCTTTTCCTGAAAAATTGTTACATTATCTTTAGAGTGATTCAAAGTTCAATACACAATATACACACAGAAATTTAGTGAATAATCATAAAATAGTATATATTCTGCAATAGCAGAAATATATGCTGTAAAGTCATGATATAAAGTTCAAACTTGACAACATATACTGTCCAATTAAGAAAATAAAAGAACAGGTAACAAAGTTCTTAATTGAGAATTTTTAACAAATAAATTAGAAAATAAAGTTTAAGAATAGCTACAGTATCGCAACAAAATTTACAAAAACGTATGTACTTTGTTAATATGGAAATATTAAAATATAAAGTATGAAAGTAATTCTCTATATTATAGTATTATAGGAAAACATTTTGTTAGACTCATTAACCAACAGCAAACAAGATTCATCTAGCAAAACAAATACACAGTGTAACTATCAAGTTAGTTAAAGGTTATAAATATCTTGATTTGGGGTATAAAGTTTTTCTTTACCAGTATAGTTCTCAAAAGATACACTTAAAGAAGTAGTCAATAGTGTATTTATAATGAAAAAGCAACAAAGTACAATAAGCACACTAACATTAATGGATTATTGTACTAAGAACAGAATCAGCTTTGATGACATATATTTACATAGAAGTGAGCATAGAATGTGCTCAATTCAATATCCTTAGAACTTGTAACAAATCTACTAAGAACACAACTTTAAAGTCTATATTTGCTATGTACCCCTTCCGCTTAGAAAAAGAAATTTTGACATTTGCACAATAAACTAGACATTTCTTCAGAGCATAAATTTCTAATAAAATGTATATTTCTTAAATTTAAAGATATATAGATAGCTTATTTATGAAATGCATTTAGAGTAACATGTAAATTTTCTCAGTTACACACCTTGATATTTTAAAATATGAATGACATACTTCTCTCTAAATGCATGCTAGCCATAAAAATTCATATTGCCTTGGACAACTTAGAAAAATTTATAGAAGTACAGTCACATAGGGGAGATAGTTTAACTATACACACACATACACAGAATGTAAGTAAGTATTTTCTAATTAAGAATATATATTTTCAAATTTAATTTCCTGAAACAAAGTTGTGATTTGAACTGCCATATGTGAAACTACAATTTATTACTACAAACTTAAACACTCCATTTAGACTTTTGATACAAAATGAAAATTTCAAACACTGTCTCAAGATAATTCTAGCATGTATTTTCCAATATTCCACTTATAGAAACAAACAAGAAAATGTTTTTCTTACACTAAATTACAACTTGTGTTCTACTAACCGAAGCATAGTAGCCACTGTAGCTGGACCATACCACTCTCCAGGCTTACGTCCTAATGTACTGCCAATCTCCACAAGCTGGTGGACAGAGAATGGACACTGCTGGTAGTCCGCAAACCATTTAATGATTTGTCGATAGACATTAAGACCCCGATCTCGGTTTTGGATTCTCCAACCTAAAATTAAAAAAAAATGAAACTGGAAAATAGTTCATAGAAAATGAAAGGCAAAATTAAATGGTTTTATTTTTCCAAATCATTTCTATTTGTATGAATGAATGTAAATCATGCTATTAAAATACAAAATGAATTACATTTATTTGCAATTTTAAGATCACCTATCTAGTTTCCTGTTAACTCAATCATGTAAACATTACATGTAAATAAAGATATTTGGAATTCCACCACTGCACAATTGCCAAATAATTCAGACTTATTCAGTGCAGTTACCTTAGACAAGAAATGAGATCACTCATAAAAAAATAATAATAAAGAATCAAAATGCATGAAATATAAAAATACATAATCTGATATTATATATACACTTGAACACTAAAATAAATAGTAGCCAAGATGACAAAAATTGAGCTTGAAAATCTGGTGAGATTTATCTGATCTGAAATCACATAGGAATAAAATGAATGTCACTTAACATAAAAGAAATGTGTGACATGATAACTACCAGCAGTTAAGAAAAACCCTTTAATACCCTTTAATAAACCATAACACAAACAACAGGAATATAAGGAATCTTTAGAAAACTATAATTTGACATTAAAAATAAGAATAATTTTAAAGCAGACTTTAGAATTTGGCTTTTAAATTCTTAAATTAAAAAAATAAATATAATTATCAATATGATCCATATGTGTATATTTTGTGATCATGTTAGATAATTCTTTATACAAGACTTACAACATATATTTATTGCTATACAATTTACTATATTAGTAAGATTTGAATTTTCCATATTATTTTAAAAAGAATCTGTTATGTGCAAAGCTGTTACAGTTTTAATAAATAATACTAATAATACAAATACATACTAATATGCATAATTTAATACAATATATGCAAAAGAAAAAAAAAGAAGAGAGAGGAAAGAAGACAAAAATCAAAGTAAAATCTAAACTTACTCCTGCCAAAAAAATGTGTAATGAAAGCCTGGGCAAGCATCATTTGACCAGACCGTATCATACAGCCCCAACCACAGTCAGTGGTTAATTTGGTTCCCTTTAGAGGCTCAAAGTCCCGTCGATAAGTGAACCACAACCGACTGGCAAAATCTAACTTAAACAACTCCATGTTATTCACACAGTTTCGACTATCTTCTTTGTTTTTACCATCCATCTCATCTGAAAGTTAAAATAAAAAAAAAAAATCAAATAAAAGAGAAATCATACTAAAGGATATACAGTCCAGTTATTTATTTTTACAAATGCATGCAGATATTATAGAGATAGAAAAAGATCAATGAATTATAAGTTCTGAGAGCATCCTGAAGCAAATTCTACTAGTTCACTTATTCATAGCCTATTTCCTAACTAAATGCTATTTTTTTTAACTTTACCTTTTGTTTCAGTTCTTTCCTTTTAAAGCAGAATATAAAAAAAAGTGTGAATAAAAAAAAAAAAAGTATATTTAAGTCATTTAAAAATTTGCTAAACCAATTTAAATAAAAATAAAATAAAAAAATACAAAAAAGACCAAAATAAAAAAAATACATCAGGTATTTAAAGAGAATGAAATACAAATGGAATGAGTCCAAAATCAGTTACACTTCTCAATTTCACGTTTCCCCCCTTATCTGCAATAGATCCATAAAATTATTATCAAACACATTAAAAAAGATTTTTAAAAAGTGTGCTCAATATGTCCATTGACAAAAAATTTACTCAAACTTATAATTTCTTTATTTTTTTTTAACTAAATGTTCAGCAATTCAAGATAGAAAGTTAATGACTGAAGTTGTTGCATGGATGTAACATTAAGTGCAGATAATGAAGATATGTAGGATAGATAACAGTTGACCTTAGACTTGAAAAAGTTAAGATTGTATTAACGAGAGAAGCATCCACTTAGGAGTTTGTTCCAAAGAGTAACAGTTCTTGGGATAAAGCTGTCTGAGTGGAACTTCCTTCTGACCAATGGAATATGAAGGGAATGACAATGATTCAACCCTGTGTATATAGCATAGTGTGTCCTAGCTGTAAAAGTCTGAACTGGTAGAACTAAGGAATGTAGCTTGTCTGAACATTTGCCATGGAAATAGCAATAGAGTAGTGATAAGTTTGTGAAATTTGACATGTGGAAAAGGAGTTGAAGGGTTGAAAATAATGCTTTTGGATTCTGTCAAGGATGGAAACTGAGAATTATGTAGCTCCAACACAGATATGACAGCAATATTCCATTTTTTGTTTGATCTGACTTTTGTAAAGCGAGTATAGCAGGAGGAGTCAGATATTTTATAGAGTGGCACAAGAAACTGGCCATTTTTCCAGCGTCTTTAGTGATGGATTGTATATACAAGTTCCACTCGAGATCTAGGGAGAAAGTGAATCCCAGTAGATGTTCAAAGCAAGGAGCCTCATTGAAAGTACAACTGTTCATCACGACTGGAGAAAATTCAGGGTTTGTTTGGTGATGATTGAACATTAATAACTTGTTTTTAAATGTACTTAATGCTACAAGCCAGTTTTTCTATCCATTGAGTTGTTATAGATCAGAGGCAAGATTAGCTGCAGGGCATCCAGATTTTTTGAAGGTGCACTCATAAACCATGATATCATCTGCATAGATATTTACTTATGATCTGAGAATGTTCCTGAGCAAATCATTAATATGAGGCAGAAAAAGGGTAGGACTGATGAGAGAGCCTTGATGGATACCTGTATTGATTTTATGGGCTTCAGAAGACTGGCCATGAACGGTATCCAGTAAATTGCTTGAAATCAATTGTGACAGTAAATTGCTCAAAATCAATTGCTCGAAAAATAATGGCTCGAACTATCAATTGCTCGAAAGGCAGTTTGCTTGAAACATGTGGTTAAAAAAAAAATAAAACTACATTGTTTCAAATATTTACTTATAAGATAAAATAATACAACTTTATTGTTGTTAACTGAACAGTTAAAATTAAAATAGCATGTCTATATATATATATATATATATATATATATATATATATATAGATAGATAGATATCCATCCAAACACAACTTTTTTTCCTTTTTCACTCTCAACAAAAGTTATGTCCATCACTAGGGTTCGAGATCTCCAAAATTACTGAAATAGAAATAGAAAACAAATATAGAAAAAAAAACAAACAACAAAAAAAAAAACAGGACTGCTAAAGTTGAGTGTTGTGGCTCCTTTTATATCCAGCTTCGTTGACATGTTGTGAGATGGCACAGTTTATGTGGTGCTTCGAGCTTTGAAATTACTTCAAGCAATCTGCCTTTTGAGCAATTGATAGTTCGAGAAATTATTTTTCAAGCAATTGATTTTGAGCAATTTACCTAGATCTGCCATGAACGATGATCTTCAAGGAGCTACCAGATAGGAAAGACATGATAATTTCTAGAGGTGCCATTGCTGGTGTGTTTGTTTAATGAAACATACCTTGTCAAATACCTTTGAGATACTCTTCTGATGAATTTATTATTGAGTGCTTCACTGATTCTCTGTGTAATGACAGTTAAGCATCAACAGTGAACATATAGAAGCAAAATGAATACATACATTGTTTCTGTTGAGGTGATCAACAACATTCTTGTTGATTTTATACTCAAGGTGTTTGCTGATGACAATACTAATGTAGTGATATTGTGATGGGGATGAGTGCTCTCTCACATTCTTGAAAACAGGGCAGACAGCTGACACTTTCCATAGACTTTGGAAACATTTCTCCTTCAGACAGCAGTTAAACAACTTTATCAAGATTGAAGATAATTCTGGACTAAGGTTGTTAAGAACTATCCCTGGAATTTTATCTAAACTGTCAGTTTCAGATAGGAATATGAGTTTTATTTTAAAAGATAAAGTCCAACTTCTTATATTATTATTTTTATATTATTAGTGTAGGAGATAGCAAACCTTTGGTTTGGAAGAAGTGGGTTTGATCCTACTGTTTTAGTGGTCATATTTTATATGTAAAGGTCATAGCAAACTAGTCAAGATAGCAAACTGGCAACAGTCACAAGTAGTATGTGAAAAAAAAAAAAAAAAAAAAAATCACTATTAGGATTAAATGTCAGAAAGTATAGCACTATACACTTCATCATGACATCAAGAGGCCCCACTGGAAACTACTGCACAATCCAGACACAATTTACAAAATGGCAGTATTGTAACCTTGATATTATACACTTGCTGATGGGATTGCCTCCTTAGAAATTACTCTATGGTTCAAATCCCTATCAGGTAGATAATGACAACCCAGAAATACGTTTACCTCCAGCACACTTAACCCTTTGAGTCTTGATCACCGCTTTACCAGTGGTAGAGAAAAATGACATAATGCCCAGCCACCAGTTGAACATTGGTAGAGAAATATGACTTAATGCCCAGCCACCAGTTGAACAGAGGTAAAACACTTGTAACTATTTTTATATCTACCGTGAAACATTACATACCAATTATTTGTGAATTTTAACTCAAGAGCTCAGGCAAAAGGGTTAAAATTGTTCAGGAATGCGGGGCTCAAAGTGTTAATGAAAAGACAGACAAACCAAGAAACAGAAAAAATACAGGAATATCACTGGAAGTGATCCTCTGTTATCTACCATAAAAATTCAGGCAGCAGAACTTCCCCTTGTGTTAAAATTATTATTATATGTAAGTAGGGAGCCCTGGCTCTGAGAACACCGGCATTCTCTACTCGGCATTAGGGAATAGCAGAGGATTTCCGAGGAAAAAACATATTAAAATTTAATGTAGTAATAATGTTATTTTTAGCTTTGAATACTTAACAACTGTTTTATTTCAAATGTTGGATTAAATAATCTTTACAGTGAAAAAATAAGTATGAAGAGGAGTTGAAAATTTCTTGGCCCAACCAAGAAGGGATTCCCAAAATAAATTCTCATATTTGGTCAAGTGGGTCAAGTTGAGAACTTTTCAGCACCCCCTCATAATACTATATTTGCCAACAATCTGAACAAGAACAAAATTTATTAACCAATGAGCATAAAATCTCAATAAAGATTAAGCATTTTTTCATAAAGGTTTTTATGCTAGATGTAACTAAATGTAATAGATTACAGATGTAACAAAGATATATGTAAATCAGATATGACAGAGGCATACTTTCTTCTGATCTAAAGATAAGAGATTACTAAAATGTATTACAAGAGTAATAACAAATATATGTATTACATGAATGCAAACATATGTTCATAAGATCTTAGTAGAAGAAAATCAAATAATATCAACACTACTATACTTACCATCATGTCGACGATGGTAGTGTTCTCCCAGCAAAAAGATTGGGCTGTCATATCTAAAACTGGTCTTTCTGTTAAGGGTCCAACCTTAAAAAGATGTAAGGAAAATATTTTGGAAGTGGTTTGAATCTTAAACATTTAACAATGAAAAGGTTTTGCATGAATATAAAGATATGCTAACCATGAAATGATAAACAAAGAAATCAGTTTAGAAATACGTTTAGCAGAAAGACATGTTATACAAAAACAGTCGTATAACCCTTTCGCTCAAACCTACCATTTAAATATTGGCTCTTAAAGTCTCACTGTTAGCATGTCTTCCTGAATTATTTGCAATGATGTTGTCATATTTTATGGCAGGGTATACATGGGGTGGGTCACAGTGGGTTGAACATTGAGAGCCAATATATACAGGGTTGGTTTGGCCAGGTTGAATTCTAAGGGGTGAAATATAGAAATATAGTATATAGTAATTTGGTATTTACTCAACCCCCTGTGAAGTTGCATTGTGACACAAGATCAGTTTAATGTGTACACCCAGGCTAGGAACAAAAATTCCCCGAGTACCAGCAACCGTCAGTAGCACTGATCCCTCACTCTGGTGTAATGAGAGGGCACAGCCTTGGGGCAGCTGTTCCCCAGGGCTGAGCATCTCTCAGTATAATTTTCCTCAGTTGAAACTGTCCTTCGACGGTGCTTCCCCTGAGCACACTCTGCCCACAAACACAAATGAGAGATGATAAATAGGGTGTTACAAACTACTTTACAGTAATTTGTATTTACTCAACTGCCAAGGAGGTCAGGTTGTGACGCAAGGTTGGCTTATAATGTGGGAGCCAGAGTGCTTACACCTGGCTAGGAACAAAAATTCCCAAGCCCCCACAACCATCGGTTGTGCTGGCTTTGGTACAAGCATTGGCACTGATCCCTCTCTGTAGTGCAATGAGAGGGTGCAGCCTCATGCAGCTGTTCCCCAGGGCCGGCACCTCTCAGTATAATTTTCCTCAGTTGCGACTGTCCTTGGTTAAGATACATAAATGACACCTTCATATTCTGGCCACACCAGGAAGATGTCCAGGTTCTACTGGACCATGTGAACTCAATGAGACATTCGATACAGTTCACGATGGAGAAAGAGAGTAACAACACCCTCCCATTCCTGGATGTTCTAATATCTCGAACAGAGCATGGGTTCAAGACATCGGTATACCACAAACTGACATTCACTGGACAGTACCTCAATTTCAACTCCCACCATCCATACAGCGTAAAGAATGGTTTAGCATCCTGCTACCACTTTCTTATCAATATTGAATTTTGTGCAAATCTGTGCAAAAAGTGGATCACAGAGCTTACCCAGCTTCATACATATTTTCAGAAAATCTCAATTTTTGATTGGTCACTAATAAATTTAAATCATTTTCGAATATCAATGTCAATTTCTGTGCAAAAGGTGGATCATAGAGCTTATCAAGCTTCATACATATTTTCAGAAAACCTCAACTTCTAATTGGTCACTTAATATTTAAATCATGTTCGAATAACATTGACCTAGTTCTTGACCTGACAAAAAATAATTCCGCCAAAATCTGTCAATGCCTTTTTTGAGCTTGTCACGTGATTACGTTGATTATAAATATCAAACACGAATTCGTTCTTTCTCCTTCTTAATTTCATGAAAATGTAGCCTTAAAGGAAACTGCTTTCTGATTCCCAGTTCGGGCGAACGCTATGAAAACATATTCACACACATACACCTACGTATGAAACTTTCCAAACTTAATCACAAACATTATGGAACATTCAACTCTTCTAAAGCTAAAAGTTTATTCAGCATTTTCTCAGCTTTATAATTCCTTCAACTATCTAACAGTGAACATTTTGAGCGACAAGTTCATTCAACTTTTGTGAGCTCGGATAAAAATATTTCATTAGTAAAAACTTTAATTCAGTCAAAGGGACATAACACCAACAAAAATAGTAACCCCGATGCTTGTATATCATTATACAAATATAAATCTCGTTGTTGTTATAAAATCATCGTTTTGTGTTTATTCTTGTTGTTTCAGGTTTTGTGGTATTTTGCATTAAATATAAATTGAGAGGTCATACCAACTAACGGGCCTCTACAAAGGGATCATCTACTGCTTACAACACTGAGCAAAAGTTATAAGTGGCGACCCAGAGACATTAGATAAAGAATTGGTCAGTATAAGCAGTACTTTACAATGTAACAACTACCCTGGGTACATGGCAGTAACTCCAATAAACTGGGATAGGTGGGTACAAGAGAAGGTCATAACACTCAGTCTGCCTGCCTTATGTGAAGGAGTTATCAGAGAAAATACAAAGGATCGGTGGTCCATATAACATCAGGATAACCTTCAAAAGCTGGACGACACTTCACAGATACCTCTCCCAAGTAAGACCCCCCCCATAGAGGAGAACCAAGCATAGAAATGAATAAAATATGGGAACCAGTAATAAGGAGTGCCAGAGAAAAGCAATAATAATGAAAATTGCAATATGAGCTCTGATAAAAAATGGTTGCTGAAGACAAGTTTATAAGACCCAGAAATTCATACACAGATGTCCTTAAGGACACATGGATAAAGGTGTTGGTTAGATCCAGTGACAAGACCCAAAGAGTTGTGAGTTCAATACCTGGTTAAGACAGTGGAGAACTTGGACAGGTGAATTAACAGGACATAATTGATAACTGACATCCATTAGACATGGCACGTGGAACTAGAACAGTGAGCGAAATAAAGGGTTCAGTTCGACATTCCAACCCGAAGAAGGCTGGAGCATACAACGGCCAAAACATGATAAATATGGCAACAAAGATGAGGACAATAATCTGAATAATGTAAATAGTATAGGGCTTAGCAAATTTGAAACTGACAGGACATATTGAAGGCAAGAGAGGAAAACAGTGCATAACCTACCTAATGAGCTTGTGTTGGCAGAACAAGGTTTAGGAGAGATAGCAAAAAAGTAAAATTTACTGAGAGTTACAAAGGACAGGAAATTGTGGAGAGCCATGAAGGGACATAACACATAGAAGTTAGATTTAATTTTTAGGTATATTGAATTTTAAAATTGTGCTGTGAGAAATCCTTAAGATTGAATTAGAACAATTAATGGTAAGGAAAGTTTCATGCTGTTTCTTTTCTTTCTTAATCACCCAATTGATACTTTTTAATTTGGTCAATACTAGAGAACCAATTTTCTACTTTCTTTGTAAAAGCCACAAACTAAACTGTAAGAAACAACAGTACTTATAAAGAAAATAAGTATTTGGAAAGGATTTAAAAAGATAAAAATGCTATGAATTTTTACTATTAAACATGTTAGAAAATTTCATAGTATTTTTTTTAAGTTGTAATGCATCAGGTTTGTACATAGATAAAGTAATCAGTAGCCTTTAAATTCATGGCCAAGTTTTAGAATGTTTTCTATTTTATCTTATAAAAGGTGTTTTTACTTTCTTATTCAATTGACATTAAATGCTATCAAATATTTTAAAAGAACTCTTTTTACAATATAATTCATTCAAGTAATGACTTAATCACTGCAACTTAAATGTATTCAGTATGAGTCTATTTTTTGTTAGAGTATCTCCAGTATTTGGGTGAGAGTTCAAAATCTAGGAAACAACCTAAGTTATATATTAATGTATAGATTGCTATCACTTTGCAAAGTAAGATATATTTGGGCCAGATCGACAATAGTATCACTTCTAATTTAGGTGCAGGCTGGGCTGATAATTAATTGCATGCGAACTCTGGTATAAACCAATTATTGTACAGAGGACTGATATAAAAACAGTATTTACTTTTGTTCAGTTTATTCAAGTGTTATTTTTTTTCCTATATGTCATCGCCCTGCTTGGACCAGCCCAACACAAAGATACCTGTAACAATTCAATCTTAGCTGCCTTATGATCAAACTTAAATCACAATGTGGGATAAGGTTAGCTCTGGGTTGAAGTGGTCATTTCAGTGTTGGAAGTTTTGGGCAACTGGATAGGGTGTTACACAATTACCTAAGACCAAAGAACTTTTTGATTATTAAATTATTTTTTGATCATTTTAGAACCGTCAAAATTTTGGTTAAAAATTTTTTTTGTTGCATCAGTGAGTGGCCATAAATTAGTATAAGAAATTTTAGCATCTTTGCAGTGCAAATGACACCGATTTGGAAATTCTTGCAGAAATCAAATAATTGTTGGATTTTAATGAAACTTTCAGGAAATTATTTTTTAAATATTTCTTCTTTAAGAAAATCTTGGTAAAAACATTTTTTATATCTGTTAACCTCTTCTTATTTAATGTTATGAAATTTAAAAAATTAATACTGCTTATTACTGCTTAAAGTGTTTATTAGTTATGTTATAAAATAAAATGACATATCTCGGAAGATTTACAGGCAAATACCCAAGAGCGAGAACCGGATGTGAACGGGACAAAGCCCCGTCACAAAATGACCATTAACTTTCTTTTTTACAAATGTTTCCGACACAAAACTTCGGTCGAAAAATAAAATAATAATTAAAGTGCTCTATTTTTCGTCCAATAAAAATGCTTCCCTCCTAATTATACTCGCTTCGTTTCTCAAGCCTGTTAAGCCATAAAAAAACGCTATAAAAGGGGTCACAAGGAAGTTCAGCAGCAGTCCACAGGTGCCCAGGATAGAGACCTGTCATGTCCAGCTGCTGACAGCAGAGGATCGTCAACCACCGTCATCATGTGTGAACTACTACGAGAGATCGACCTAGATCCAAAAGCCGGCTTATGAACTTTACCACACCAAGGTAGCTGTCCCAAACCCACACGTTCCTGTTGAAATAAACCATGTAAATCTATTTCTGCTGTTGTCGTATTTCTTTCTTGCAACCATACGCTTGTCTATAACACTGGTGTCAGAAGCGTACAGCAAGAGAAATATGGCCGACTACACGAGCTTCACCCGAGCCGAACTATTTACTCTCACCAAGGAACAGAAAACACTACTATTCAACTTGAAAACGGGACCAACACAGCCTTCCGAGGCCACGATACAGGAAATTCAAGCCGACATAAACG